TGATGACATGTCTCTTCTGTGATTAGATATGTAAGGTTATAATTGCTGTTGACTTTGATGAAGCAAGTTACCATGCTGGAAGAGCAAGAAAATGAGGGTGACCCGTGGCCACTGCCAGCTGGGTGTTTGGTTCCTTCGCCCTCACAGAGCTGAAATGCTGCCAGCAAATGCTTGCACGCCGAGGCTTCTGCAGCTGAAGCTCAGATAAGATTCCCACCCAGGCTGAAGGCGGCTGCAGTCTCAGGAAGTGTAGAATCTGTGCTGCCCTTCTCTTAACTCAAGGATATTATGACACAATGAGTGTGATTGTTTAATGCACTTCATTGATAGTGGCCTGTTACTCTGCAATAGGTAAGGCCTTTGCCACTGGATCCCTGTGTGACCTTGAACCAAGTGTCTCTCTTTGGCTGGGCTGTTTCTCTTCCTTACGTGCAAAATGAAAACCACATCCAGCTTTTGCATCTCAGAGCAGGTTAGCACTTGCTGTGCCATCCCCACAAATAGCTTTCCCTCCTCTTGCTTTCTCGGGCTATGTTAGCTGCAAGGACAGGAACAGCCTGTCTTTCGCAAGGGGATGCGGCTGACACAGCTGCTCCTGAGCAGCGCTGAAGATCGGGCTCCTCGGGACTCCCTCCTCCGCTCTGTGCTGGAGTCCTCATCCCAGGAGCGCAGGACGCTAGTGCTTCAGGCACAGCCTTGAGGCTGTTGGGATGCCTTCCCTTTTGATAAGCTTGTCCAAGGGGAGAGGGGAAGCGGGGGGCTACACTTGTTTCTGCAGTTGCCCCGTGAGCTTTCCCCACTGGCACGCTCTTGTGAGCCTCTTCTTCTGGTGTACTTCTCTATGGCATCTGTCACCCTCCACTCCCCCAGGGACACTGCTAAATCAGCACCATCAAATGGATCTGTGTGCCAAGATTCCTACTGGGGGAGCCCAACCAAGACGGTTCTCTAGGTTGTCAGTGTAGCAGCTGCCTTCCAGGAAGTGTGAAGGGTTCATGGGGGGAGGAGCGAAAGGCCGACTTTGTCAGTGGGAAAACAATGTCTTAGGAAGTAGACTTCCCATAGACTAATTTCTACTTCTAACTGGCCAGTCTTGAGCCACATGGACATCTCGAGCTGGAAGGAAGCCAAGGAGTAAAAGTCTTTTAAAGTTAATTTAACTTTTTAAATCAGTACGGAATGTTATTCAAGTACACAGATATACAGATGTGACTGCACTAACCTTTCAAGTTTCTGCCTCTGTGTTGCCATGGGCAGCATGTAGAATGTCATAAGCATACCAGGAGCTGAGTGGTATGGACAATGTTTCTAAACTGGGACACTGTTGTTGGATATGAGGGAGGGGGAATGGATGATTGGCGTGTTGCACTTTCTCACTTCTGCTTGGACAGCTTCTAGGATACATTAGGCCTCCCTCTGTCATGGCCTCCTGTCGGCTGGCAGATCTTTGAAACCTGGTGTATATCATACAGATTCCCAGCCAGGCCTTTGTCCCATCCACTAGAGTGTGAGGCAGGGCCTGCAGCCTATAGCGAGTGCTCAGCAAACACTATTGAATGAGTAAAGACGGAAAGCAAGATTGGCGTTTGTAAGGGAACCAACCAGGTTCCCAGAATGCCAGGAGACTTTCCCTGAGGACAGTGGAGAGAGGCAGTGTGTTTGCAGGAGGACTTTGGCTGCTGAGGACAGGGGAGATGCTGCAGAGACAAGGCTAGTCTCCAAGAAGCAGATGGTGAGTGGGCCAGGAATCGGGCTGGAGGGAATGTATGGCCAGTCCCCCTAAAATTAGAGAAGCCACAACCTGTGATCTGGCACCTCCTGTCCCTCCAGGGATCTAGCTCAGAATCTGGAACCTCTAGAGAGCCACAGGACCACTGACCTCCAAAAGTTAGTTGGCTTATATGGGAGCTTCCTTCCTGAGCCTTGGAATTTTCATCCTCTTCTCCCTGGAGAATGAAACCCAGGGACAATCAGGTGTGAACCAACAGGCCTCTGAGATCTAGGATTGATCCTGTTCACAGAACCTTCTCGGGACTGTGCGAGAAGCCTCATTTTTTTTCATCTGTGGACACTGTTGTTAAAGCATCCACCTACTGTAACTACTTACTAGGGATATAATGAATCGGGACCCAATCATTCCGGGCTGAATCCTAGCTCTGGTATGTATGGCTCCTTGGGCTTTGTCCAAAGCCACCTCTTTATCCCTCAGTTCTCTTCATATGTGAAACGGAGAAACGAAAGCTACCCAGTAGGCCTGTGAGGGTGCAGTGGGATTGATTGATTGATTGATTGATTGGCCATGTGAATGAAAGGATGTGGGGCACAGGGTGGGTACCCTGTCATGTTTCGTTCTTGTCTGGGTTTATCATTATCCAAAGGAGATGCTGGAGTTTAATTCTGACTGCATCACCTCCTATCACCTCCCAGCTAAGAGCTGGGACAAGTCGTTGTTTCAAAGCTGCTGCTCCTCCAATGTTGCACCGGCTTTCTGGGTGTGATGGGGAATGGTGTGATAGTCGTCTTAAAGAGGGAAGCATAGGGTGGGCACTTACTCTGGATGAATTAGTTAGCAGTCAGTTTCTAGCAGGCTCTTGCTGTGTCACCAACAGCCCCTGTCCTCCCTCAGCTTCCTACCACAAACACTAAGCCCCGGCCACGAGCGTGAGGCTTGGCTAAAAGGCAGCTTGACTTTAGGCCAGTGGCTTCTGGGATGAGCTCTTCTAGGGGCTGGATGCTTCCAGAAGGATGGTGGCTTGTGGCTGTTAGTTCTACCTAAGCAGGTTCCCAGCTAGGCTCTAAATTACCAGCATGTTGTCTTAGCTCCTCTTTCTGGTGCTGTGACAAAACACTCTGAGAAAGGCAACAGAAGGAACAAAGGGTTTATTTCAGCTCACAGTTCAAGATGCGGTCCTTCATGACAGGGGAGTCCAGATGGCAGACACTTGAAGCTGCGAGTCACATGACAAAGCAACTGGTCATGTGACATTTGCCTTCAGAAGCAAGTGATGAGTGCTGGCATGCCCCACGTAGCTCACTCGCTTCATGTTGTCCAGCTCAGGATCCAATACTTAGGGAACGGTCCCACCCTCAATCAAGATGGGGCTTCCTATACGAATTAGCAGATCAAGATACCCCCCTACAAGAGTGTCCAGAGCCTGTCTCCCTGTGATTCTAGATTCTGCCAAGTTGGCAGTTTTTAAACTAACATTAGAGATGGGACATACACTATCCCCTTGGGAATCTGTGACAGAGACTGTGATCCTCAGTATTATCTGCCTGAATGCGATGGGTGAGGAAACTGAGGCCCAGAAGGAGGCTGAGAACTATCCAAGGTGGCACAGACCCTGTGACTCCGGAGAGCTTTCTTTTCCCTAGGCGTCACCTTGGTCCCTGTTGTTAGCAACTGTTACTATGAGTTAACAGTTCAGGCATTGGGATCTAGAGAAAAGGGCTGTGGCTGTCAGAAAGTGAGACTTGGTCCATCTCTGGGACTGCAGAGAGAAGTGGTGAAGGCCTCACTTGGGCTACACAGCGGGGCTCATAAGAACAGGAAGCGGGGCGAGCTAGAATCCCCAAGTCCATTTTATCTATATTAGCCCCAGTGTAGCAGACAAAAGGAGGCTCAGCAGAGAAAGGGGCGGGGGTGCCTTCTTTCCCTTCCCAGATGAGTGCTGGGGAGGACGGACAGTCAGGAATTCAGGTATTTGGGTCCAAGGAATGGATGAAGCCTCGCTGACTCCTCTCAAGAAACCCTAATGAGGCCCTGACTATAGGCTGGGCTCAGGGGAAACCGGGGCAAGTAGACACCACCCAGCAGAGGAGACAGACTTACTCTACACAGGACATCTAATCACTGGAGCACCTTCCCTGGATACAGTACAAATGGACCGATCTTAGCAAGCACTGGGCTACAACGTTGACTCCTGGAGCGAGGAGGCTCTTTTCACTCCCGACTCTGCCCCCGGAAGCTGACTCAGGCAGAGCTCTGCATCTCCAGCCTCTCTTTAACCCTTATTAATCTCCATTTATTAGAACAGAGGCAGGCTCTCCCTTGGCGGGTGACCATATCGAGCTAGAATTTAATGGTATTATTTAAATCAAGCACGAATTAATTTAAGGGAGCTGCTGTTTTCATTACAGTGGCTTCATAATTCCATTCTGTTTCTGACCAGTGATCTTGCAAATCTCATTTACTATAGTGACCCCCCCCCCACGCCATCCTTTGGAAATGAATTGTTACACTCAAAAGTGAGCCATTTAAATGAAGATATTAAGTAAATTAAATAGTTGTACAGGGGTTATTTTACACAACTAGACACATTTCAGTGTGGTTCTGCCGGGATGGTGAAGATTGTAACGGCATGTACAGATGGACTGATGTTTGGGAAATTCTGCTAGGCATACATTTTGCGGGAGGACTATCTAGAGGTGGGTTCAGGGCACCATAGAGAAGGGGCTGCCTGAGTTGGTATTGTAACTGGAGGAAACAGAATGTACAGGGAGATGTAAAAATGGCTATGAGGTGGGGTAGGAAGCTCAGTGTGACAGAGGACAGGGAGCTGCAGTGATGGGGTGTGTCTTTAGGGTCTGCAATGGATCAGGGCATGCAGGAAGAGAAACCAGGAGGCATGCGTTGTTAGCAGATGTCACAACAGGCCAGGGTCTGTCAGAAGGTTACGATTGCTCTGGAGAGATGATGTGGGTTGGAGGATCCCTGGCCCCCATCGTGATCTCTTCCTGGTGGGAACCACACCTAAGGTGCAGAGCCACATACAATCCCAAGCTGGAATTAGCCTAAAGAAAGGGAAAGAAAGGGTTAACCCTCTTCTGTAACACAACTCTGAGTTTGGTTCCTGCATCTAGAAACTATCAGTCATGATTGCTAAGACAGTACTCTCCAGCCTCCTTCAGAAGGGCAAACTGATGTCCAAGGCAGCTCAGGGGTGTGGTCTCCGTGGCATAGCCCATTCAGAACTGAGGAAGACGGTTTCTCTGCCATGCTAATGGGAGCCCTCGCACCCTACTTCTCCAGCTGTGGCCATGTTGGGGGGGCCTCGCTTCCGAGAGAGGTGTCCTGCAGAGACTATTAACCTTGAAGGACATCCCCGAGCTAGGCTGGAGAGGAAGGCCCTGTCATGGCCCCCAGGAATGGTACCTTTGCTGGGGTCTCGGCAGTCCCGGCCGCAGGCACTGAGGCAACACCGCTTCTTGCCTGAGCAGTTCGAGTCTTGGTTACACATGTGCTTTATAGGACTGAGACAGTGGAGTTGATCCAGGGGGCACTTGCCCGGTTTCACTGCAATACAGGGGCTTGAGTGAGTCTTGCTTGTGCCCGCCGGCCCTGGGGCTTGAGGCTTGGATGGACGGCAGAGTGGAGGAGACACTTACCTGCGACCCTGGGGACACACTGGCGGAAGCAGGCTCTGGAGCAGCACTTCATAGACGAGGGGCACTGGCGGTCATTCATGCACTGATCCGGCGTCACCTGGAGGCAAGGCCCGTCGTCTGGTGGGCAGCCCCCCCATTTTTCTGCACAAGAACCCTCACATCATGTAACCAGAGGCAGCTCAGGGCTGTGTAATAATCATTGACTTGGGGGTTGCAGGCTCTAATCCCCCCGTCTCTTACTTCTTGCTTTGCCACCAGAGTTTTCCTACCGTCTAGAGCTAATTTGACATTCAAGCGGCATAGGAAAAAAAAATGAGATTTTTTTGTTTGTTTGTTTTTCGAGACAGGGTTTCTCTGTGGCTTTGGTGCCCGTCCTGGAACTAGCTCTGTAGACCAGGCTGGTCTCGAACTCACAGAGATCCGCCTGCCTCTGCCTCCTGAGTGCTGGGATTAAAGGCGTGCGCCACCATCACCCACTAAGAAATGAGATTTTAAAATTCAGGCTATGGAGATCACTCATTTGGGACTTGACTTTGATCCTCAAAACTGATGTTTTTTTTTTTTTTTAAAGTGTGTACGTGTGTGTGTGTGTGTGTGTGTGTGTGTGTGTGTGTGTGTGTGGTGGGGGTGGGAGGCATGCTGTACGCTTATAATCCTAGCCCCGAGGAGGCAAGGACAGGCTGATTGCTGAAGTCGGCTGGCTAGCCAGCCTGGCCCACTAGATGATTCAAGGTTAATGAGAGTCTCTGACTCAAAAACAAGGAGGAAGTCAGCTGAGAAGTGACACTCTAGGTTGTCCTCTGTGTGCACCTATACACGCTTAAGCACAAACATACATGCTCATACACACACATACAATCTCTACCTCAGACGATAAGACTGCCTGGTCTGGCCCCTTCCCACCTGCACATCACCGGCCTCATTCTCCGTCGCTCTCCTGCTCACCGGCTCCGGAGCAGCTTCAAGCCAGCGCGCTCTCTGCAAGGTTCTGGCTTTGGCCGGCACCAGCTTCCACCCTGCCCACTCAATCAGTTTGCTGATCTCAGTCGAAATATCACCTCGTCAGAAGACCCTGCTTCTCGGAGCCCATGGAGCCGGCTCGGCGCTGGAGTGTGTGCTTGCAGCTGTCTGGCCCTCTCATGGGCTGGAGTCTGAGCCTGATCGCCTGCTGGCTCTGTTCTTCATGGGCACAGCACCGTGCACAGTGCTGGGGGCTTAATGCCCGCCGGGAAGAGAGGGATTTGAAGGGAGGCCCAGTGTTGCATGTGTGCCAGCTGCTTGCCAACGAGGCACATCTGCGCAGCCGTGCTCACCACTGCTGCGAGTGGCACCGCTTCAGATTCTAGTATCGACTCTGACTTTGAACCTTTCCCCCAACAGCTCCAGAATGCTCTGTCCTGGACCTGATCTGCCCAGTCTTCTTGTGGTTTCATACATGAGTTGGAAATCACACACAAGTTGGAAATCCTACTCAGTGAAACATTTTCTATGAATCACAAACACACACATGCACACACACACACGTGCGCACACACACACACTGTCCATTTGGAGGAAGAAGTTCCCAATTGACAGTGACCAGTGTACCCCAGCATACCCCAGCTAGGACTCTCAGAGACTGGCTCCCTTTAATCTTTAGGTGCTGCTTTGAGCTATAGGAACAGGGCTGGTCCTAGGGCTTCTGTTCAATCTAGAGTCACAGCAGCTTCAGCTGATCCAGGCCTATGATGTGATCGAGGGGACCCTCTCCTTGCCTCTATCCTGCAACCCACTCTACCCCAGCTCTGCCTACCAGAAGTTCCCTCCTACCTCCTTGCTTAGAGTTCAGACAGCTCCATTGGGCTTGGTATCAACAGTCTCCTTCCTCTCTTTCTCTGTCCCTGCCTGGGCACTGGCTGTGCACACAGTAGGTCGTCCCTTGCTGGCACACAGTCAGCTTTAGTTGTTAAACTAATGGTTAAGCTGAACTGCTGCCCCCTACTGGAGAATGAGCAGCTTAGCCTGGGAGGGAGCACACATTCTGAGGAATGTCTCTTTGTGGGTATTTGGGAGGGATGCAGTACATGTGTCCGTGTGTGTCTGTGTGTCTGTGTGGTGGTGGTGATGGTGGTGGTGCGGTAAGAGCCTTGGAGACTATCTACAGGCCAGGATTTAGTATCAAACTCACAAGCCCAGTACAGGAATGCTCAGGCCTCAGACAGTGGGCCAAATGGAGCTGTCTGAATTCTAAAGAAAGAAGCAGAAGCTTCTAGCGGGGAGAGGGCACTGGTGGAGCGTAGGCTGCAGGATTTGCAAGAGGCAGGGAGAACTTCTGGAGGAGGGCCCAGGGGCTGGGTTCCAAAGGCTAGACTGATAGGGAACAGGCAGAAAGTTGGCATTTGAAGTGGGACAAACTGACAGGGCCTCAGTGTAGAGACAGACATAAAAGACATACAGAGAGATGTGTAGGGGTCTGGGTGGCCACACTTCCCTACCTGATCTCCATACCTTTCCTCCACATCCGGTTTCCTACCTGCTGACACATTCTCTCTCTCTCTCTCTCTCTCTCTCTCTCTCTCTCTCTCTCTCTCACACACACACACACACACACACACTCCCCCCCACACACACCATAGCTGATCTGATCTCATTGACACATTGTCTGTGAGTCACACGTACAATCTTACACACTCAGACACACACACACACACACACACCACAGCCAATGTGTAGACTCCATACTTGTGTAGCATCCATACTTGCATATGGTTAAGTCAATGTATTCAGCTACACAGATGAAGTCAGGCGCATGAGCACACTTAGCCATTGATACACAGCTCCCTAAATGTAACTGCAAAATTGCCAACACCCTGACATTCGAATGGGGAGCATGGGCTCCTATAAACAGGAGTGGCTGAGCTTCCACCTAGACAAACGGAATCCCCTCGGTCCTGTCACCTTCTGTCACTGTCTGAAATTCTACTGAGAGCCAGGCAGATGTCTCATGGGAGAGGAATCAGGGAAGGATGGATTGACATGAGCTGGGAATGGTAAGCGTGTTGCACCTGACCAGGCCGAGCAGGCCCCAGCTCTGGTGGAACCGGGTCTCTCAGCCCGGGTGTGGTGTTGGGATGCTCTCTTAGGACACCTCGGTTACCTCACAAAACCATCACATTTGCTGCACTTTCGGGCATACCTGACATTTATCCTTCAGGACCCCATTGCCCCTGAGAGGAAAGCGTGGACCCCATATCGCGGGGAGTGAGTTGGCCAAGGGAGCCCTACTGACCTGTGCCTCTCAGAAATGGGTGCCATAGAAGCTTCTCTCTTTATTTCCCCATCCTGCCTGGCTTCCCCAGCCCTGGAGGAGGGGGTTCTGTCCCCATTTCTGTACCTGTCCACCAAGGCAAGGCCAGCTCTGCAAAAGCAAATGTAGGTCAAAGCATTCCAGCTCGAGAAAGGGATGGATGAGTGGGCTCACCCACAGGTATAAGAACACCTGTGCGTCCCTCACTGTCAACACACCAACCTGAGATTTGTCGGGGGTGGGGTGGGGGTGGGGGTGGGTCTAACACAGAGGAAAGGAAGAAGAGAGGCAAAAGCAGAGATTCCTCCCATCAGACCCCAGATCCCAGAGGCCATAGTCCTTTACTAACTCCCACGTCCCTTCTCCAGGTCCCTGGGATCCAGAGAAAGCTTAGACCCCTGTTGATGCAATCAGAATGTTAGGTAGGTCTTCCCCTACAGAGAGACACAGTGACACATGGATGGATGGAGACATGTCCTCAAGCTCAGACACATTAAGCATGCATGTATAGAAAGAAAGGTTGGCACAGGCAGGAACCCTGAAGGCACGTATGTACTCAGAAATAGGTGTGTTTCCTTGCAAACATTCAGATATGAATGCAGGCACCAGCAAGTACTGAGAAAGGGCAGAGTTCCTTGACAGGTGAAGACACAAGCATGATCAAACGGACACACACACACACACGCATGCACACACTCACCACTGGTTCTCCCAAAGCCCGCACTCTCCATAGAGAGGAAGAAGCCTCCTGGCCCCTAGAGCACAGGGATTCATGGCACTCACCTCCCTTATTCCTACACAGGGCCACAGGCAGCTGGGTCTCCAAAGCCAGGAGGACTACCAGGAGGAGGGAGCGCTGGATTCTCATCTTTCCTTCGTGGTACCCAATAAGCTCAGGGCACATAGGCCCCCAAATTAACACCTACAGCTCCAGGGATGCCAGAGCAGTTGAGTCAGGGGAGGAGGACCAGAGGACAATTAGGGTGGCTTCTGTTTCCTTGATCTCGGCCCCACCTCCACCCCCTGCCTGATGTCTTGCTTGTGCAAGAATTGAAGGTAAGTGGCGGAGGTTCTTTGTGTTGGGGACTTGGATCTGGTTCTGCCTGTACTGCTGACTTGGCCTCTGAGTATCGGGCAAGTCTCCTTGCCTGTCTTCAGGCCTCAATTTTCTCATCTGTGTTGTGGGAAGTGGAGGAGTGGTCATAACAAAAGCCGGACACGGAGACTTTTTCCTCTAAGGCAGTTCAACTTACATCGCCGGCTCTGCCTGGGAATGTGAACCTTGGCCACCTCCACCCTCTGACTTACAGGCATCTGAAACATCTGGTACAACCAGGCCAGTTTATTGTGCCTGGAGACTTAGGATGCATGGGGAGACAGCATCGAACTCTTATTTCATGAGCATACTTACTAAGTAAATGATTCTTCCTTTGGTTTCCTTTGGCCATTACCCCAGTTACTCTGCACTGCCTATCCAGCCCCTGTACCGGGAATTAAACCCAGGGCTTCTCACATGCTCGGCAAGCATTCCACCACTGCCACTGAGTTACATTCCTAATCCCTTTAACGTTTTAAGTGTTGAGACAAGGTCTTGCTGAGTTTCCTAGGCCGCCACTGCTGTGGCACTTGCTGCTCTTTCAGTCCTCATGATGTTCCTACCTGAGTTTCCTAAGTAACTTTGATGACAGGCCTGCATATAAGGCCCAGCATAACCCCCTTCCTTCATCAACATTCATTGGAATTTTCCTACAAAGGGTATTTTACTGCCTGCGAGTAAGCTCTGCTTGCCAGTTTAAGCCCCCATCACCGTTGCCTTCTTCAGAATACTAAAGCAGACGCTCTGAGCTCCTGCCTCCGGGACCTCAATTCCTAAGACTCCAAGCAAAATCCTTTTTATTTTTGCATTTCCTGAGTTCGGCTTCATTGATGGTGTGCAGGGTGATGGGTGACAGAGACTCCTGCCCCCCCCCCCCCCCCGGCTCTCTTAGGGTCTTGAAACTCTCACAGTGTCTTAGACAGGGGCAGGAATCAGCTCGGATGACAGTGCCAAGAAATGAAGACAGTGAGGGGCCAGGGTTGGGACTTCCTCCTGGAGGAGTTGGCTCAGGTTGGCATGGTGAATGAGGCCAAGCTTAGCCTCTCATCTTGGGACCTGTGGATGGAGATGGGACCAACATCCTTCAGAAGGTACTTCTATGGGCCTCTAGTGGCATTGCCCTTTGCCTGGGCTGGCATGGCTGAGCAGGATGGGTAGTGTATGGCTCTGGTTTAACTAATCAATTCTCCGGCTAGAGCCAATGTAGGTGCCAATGGGACTCCCATCCTCTCTGGCCCCCTGAGCAAATCGCCCTGCTTTCACTAAGACCCCACCCTCAATTTCACACCCGTGACGCTGAATCTGCCCTTGGTGAAAGAGAATAACTGAGGCTTGGCATCCCATGGGGACCCAGATGGAAACTCCAGAGCACAGCGCTCCATCAAGACTGGGGTGATCGAGACCCGGCCCCAAGCGCTCCCATTCAAAAGACGAGGAATGTGTTAGCCGGAGATGGGAGTGGACTGCTTCAGTGACACACACCTAATCCCTAGGCAGCTTCCTGGATATTGAAAACAGGGGAACACTTCATGTGACCCTGAGAAAGGAAGGTGACATTCCGGGGATTGTCTTACTTACTCAATCCCAGCCTGGGATAGTCAAGCAGGAAGGGCTTGGGCTCAACTTGAATCCTTTATGCTGTGTTCTAAGCCCTCGAGGACGGAGGAGTCCCTGTCATGTAGGGACTGATGACGTCTTTAGAATCCTGGCATATCTGTGGCAGCGTTATTTTGGTGGAAAGTTTTTATGGGCTACGTTTCCCCCAATTATAAAGTGTACACATCCATTGATGACACTATTCCAGTTAAGGTTACTTCTCAGACATTCCCCTGTGCTGTAAAGTGTTCTCTAAACACTGTGGTTTCTGGTATCCGTGTGCAGTTTTATTTATTTATTTTTTTTAAATGTTTATTTATTATGTATACAATATTCTTTCTACGTGTATGCCTGCAGGCCAGAGGAGGGCACCAGATCTCATTACAGATGGTTGTGAGCCACCATGTGGTTGCCGGGAATTGAACTCAGGACCTTTGGAAGAGCAGGCAATGCTCTTAACCGCTGAGCCATCTCTCCAGCCCCCGTGTGCTGTTTTAAAAGACAGAACTCATGTGAACTGCTCTTTCCTGAAAGACGGGCAGATTTCTGCTCTTTTATTTTCACAATCCCAGTATGGAGTTTTGGAGTCAAATCTCAAACACTTTTTAAAAAGTTGCTTAAATGGAAGTATTAGGTCAAAGAGCATGATGAATTTCTCCAGACCACAGATATACCTGGCCAGCGTTCATTTCAGAAGTCAAAAAGAACAGGAGAAGCCTCGATCTGTCCTGCATAGACATTTGCTGTTCTGTTTGCCCTTGGCTGATCCATGGCTTCCTGCCCCCAGCTCCTTTAATTCTGGTTGGTTGTCATTTACCATGTGTTTCTCCTGACGCGGGTGAAGGTGCTGGATCCAGGTTAGAGCCACTAGACTGCTCCTCCGCCCCTCACCTGCCCACCCCTCCATCTGAGTTGTAAGCAGAGAAGGCCCTGCTCACACGAGGATACTCAGAAGTTCTGTTGCTGTTGCCCATGGCCAGATAGTTCCTGCACACACCCAACACAGGATATTAAAAAAAAACTAAATAAAATATCCACTATGGAAGTTTCTCATCTTACACTGATCTTCCTCGGAATATTGGTGAGGACCAACATTTCTCATGTGTTTCCACTTCACTTTTCTTGGACTATTTCCCCTTTTTTTGTGAATGGCTTGCTTTCATATTTTGCTAAATGTTTTTGAATGTCTTCTTCTTTTCATTTTTGAGCTACATGACTGTAATATTTTTAAGAGCTGTTTATATCTGATGGATGCTGTTAACTTGCCAGTGAATGGTAGCAAAGTGGTTTGTTGAATGTGTGCGGGGTCAGACAGACCTAGTTTTGAATTCTAGTATTACCAAGTTCTAGTTGATTTGAACTTTGATAAGCCTCAGTTGTTCCTCTGTAAGACAGACAGAAATATTTATCTCATGAGCTAGTTTCGAGAACTGAACAAGTTTGATAAATGCTTATTCTGATTCTCTATTCCAAATGCATCTTTCATTTTTTTTTGTACTTGTACCAAAGTTTTCAATTTAGGGCAGTCAAATCAGCCTTTTCACTTACATTTGCTTCCTTTATTTAAACACATATTCATCATTTCCAGTTACACAAATGAAGAGATTTTATTATGAGAGTTCCATACATGCATATAATTTTGATAATATTCATCATCCTTGTGTTACCCTTTCTTTTTTTTAAAAAAAGGAGTTATTTATTTTTATGTGTGTGACTGTTTTGCCTGCATGAATGTATGTGCTTCATATGAGTGCTATGCTTGGGGAGGTCAGAAGAGGGCACAGGATCCTCTGGAGCTGGGGATACAGGAGCTTACGAGTCGCCATGTAGGGGCTGCAAACTGAACTGAACCTGGGTCTTCTGTGAGAATAGCAAGTACTTTCAATGGCTTAGCCACCTCTTCAGACTCCATAATACAAATTTCTGTTACTGATTAGCAACCAGAACTTTGGGGAAAAAAATGGCCTCATATATGTCAAGGGTGTTCCAGCATCATTTATGTAGATGTACTAAAATATCCTGACAAGAAGCAACTTAGAAGAGAAACTTGATTCTATTTCAATCCCCCATTACAGTCCATCGTTGTGGGGGAAGTCAAGGCATCAAGGTGGGGAAGTCAATATAGATATGTTACATGTAGATACGTCACATCACATTAATAGTCAGAAACAGAGAGAAACATACATGCTCGCTCGCCTGTGCTCAGCTCTATCTCTCCACTCGCACACACTTCAGGATTCACTGCATAAGGAATAGCACCGCCCATAGAGGACATGCCTACATACCAACCTCACACAGGCAATCCCTCACTGAGCCATTCCCTGATTCTAGGCTGTGGCAGACTGGCAAGTGAAGCTCACCATTACATATATGCTGTTGCTGTTTTTGTTGTTGTTGTTGTTTTTCTTCAATTCTTTTTGTTTATTTGTTTGTTTTCAAGACAGGGTTTCTCTGTGTATCCCTGGCTGTCCTGGAACTGGCTCCGTAGACCAGGCTGACCTCAAACTCAGAGATCCACCTGTCTCTGCCTCCTGAGCACTGGGATTAAAGGCGTGCACTACTACACCCTGCTTCTTTGTTTATTCTTGATCCAGTGCTGTTGTAATAGCTACAGCTTCATGATGTTTAAGCAACTTCTGGTATCCATAAATTTTGCTAACTCACATTGCCACTTTTTACATCATAGTCTTTCATTAGACATCATTTTTACATCATGATTTTTTTTCTTAAAATCCCAAGTGCTGGAATTAAAGGCATGCGTCACCACTGCCTGGCACTATTAACAATTTTTACCACCATTTAAAAAACACACAAAAGAGCACTAACCCTTTTTATGAAGCTCTGTACACTCCAGATTCAACAGTAACATTTTACACTTCCTCTTGCACATATCCACCATTTTCTGTTTTACTTCTGAAGAATTTTTAAGTAAGCTTGACACATCTCCCTTCAGATGTTTCAGTACGGATCTCTAAGAAACAAGGACACTTCAGGCTGAGTGTGGTGCTGTGCACAGACAGCCCGGGCACCCAGGTGTGCAGCTAGCAGGGTCATGAGTGCTAGATTAGCTTGGGCTCCATAGCAAGACCCTGCATCAACTTGGAAAGAAAGGGAATAGGGACATTTTCTCACACAATCGAATGTCACTGTCACATCGAATCAACCGCCTCTGTATT